GTTATTTAACTTGTAATTTGCCTTCTTTTGAGCATAAAAACAAACATTGGCATGCATAAATTAATGCCAAATTCTGAAATTTAGCATGCCCATGCCTAAATCAAAGCTAAATTCTGGAATTTCTTTTAATCCCACCAAAAATTGTTTCGGGCATGCTCAAATTAATGCTATATTCTAAAATCAAGCAAAATAAAATTATTAGACACCAAAATAAACGCAAAATAATAATAATAATAATAATAATAATAATAATAATAATAATAATTAACAGAGCATGAAAAAGATTTAGGTTATCTCCCAATAGCACTTTTCTTTAACAATTTTGGCTAGACATTATTTTCTTGCTAGTCATTTGGCGGTACAACCACCAATGGTTTTTTTCATCTCCAATTGGGCTTTTTTCTCACTATATTTGAGCCTATGGTTGCATACAGAGAATAATTCCAAAAGACTCTTGCCATCCTGCATCGAAGGCTCAATAACACTAATGGCACATATTGAGTTAGAATCAACATGGATATTATTAAATATGTTAAAATGAATTATATTATCATCAAATTCCATGCTTAATATGCCTTGTTTCACATATATTTTAACACCAGTTGTATACATAAAATGCCTCCCTAAGACCAAGAGGTGAAGGATTAGGTGAATTCTCATATTTCACATCCAACACAAAGAAGTCAACTGGAAAAACTAATTAATTGACTTGAACTAGGACATCTTTTATAAGTCATTCAAGGTACGTAATAGTCCTATTATCCAATTGAATCACTATTCCTCTTTTCTTTAAATGAGCTAAATTCAAGGAGTTAAGGATTGATTTAGGCGTAACATCCGTCGATGCTCCTATATCTAGCATGACTTTTCTTATTTCCACATCTCCTATCTTGCAAAAAATTTTAAACATACCTAGGTCATTGCACTTTGGTGGATTTTTTTTTTTGTAAGACCGTATAAACGTTTTCATTGGCAATGATGCATTTGCCTCCCTTCATTCTCCTCTTGTTAGTGCACAGGTCCTTAAAATTTTTTGCATACCTAGGGATTTGGCGAACCGCATCCAACAATGGTATGTTAAGCTCCACCTTTATGAAAATCTCAAGAATCTCCTTGTTGTTATTTGCTTTCCTTGGCTTCACCAACCTGGAAGTAAATGGTGTTTCATAAGACTTTGTATTGAAAGAGAGTTCAGATTGTACCTTATCAACTTCTAGATCCTCTTTTTCAATTTCTTTCTCAATGGTTTCTTCATCCTTGTCCTTTGGAACCACTGAGGTTGTGAGCTCTCCATTACTTTACCGGTTCGAAGATTTATCACACTCACATTATTTGGATTCTTTTCGTCTTGTGATGGTCATTTTCTTTATTCTCGCTCATTCAGCTAAATCACATGATGCAAGAATGTTGGCTGACCTTCTTGAAAAAAAAATTTGAAAAAATAACAAGGAGCATGTTGCGCAAATTGTGACGGATAATAGAGCAAATTATAAAGGGGCGGGAAGACTATTAGCTCATTCATGGTCTTTTTTGGACAACTTATGCAGCTCATTGTATCGATCTCATGCTAGAAGACATTGGGAAAATTAATGAATTTAAACCGTATATTTAAAAGGCTAGGGATGTCACAATTTTTATTTATCGACATAGGAGACTTCTCAATGCAACGAGGAAAAAGACCGGTGGCAGAGATCTGGTGAGGCTGTAGACTACCCGATTTGCTACCGCATTTTTTAGTTTTCTGAGGATGTTGTAAATGTAATATGGGTGTTCCCTTATGTTAGATGGTTGTACAGACAAAAGAGGGTGACACTTGAAAAATATTCTTGTCAGAGGGGACATTTTTCTTGGAGTCTATTGATGCATATGCTGAGTCACATTATACAAGAATGTTTGCTGACCTTTTTGAAAAAAAAGTTGAAAAGATTAGCAATGAGCATGTTGTGCAAATTGTGACAGATAATTGAGTAAATTATAAAGCGGCAGGAAGAGTATTAGCACAACTCATTCCTGATCTTTTTTGGACATTATGTGTAGCTCATTATATCGATCTCATACTAGAAGACATTGGGAAAATGAATGAATTTAAACCGTATATTCAAAAGGCTAGGAATGTCACCACTTTTTTTTATCGACATGGGAGACTTTTCAATGCAACGAAGAAAAAGACCTGTGGCAGAGATTTGGTGAGGCCGGAGACTACCCGATTTGCTACTGCATTTCTTAGTTTGCTGAGGATGCCGTAAATGTAGTATGGGGATTCCCTTATGTCAGATGGGTGAATAAAAAAAATAGGGCGACACTTGAATAATCTTCTTGTCTAGATGAGATTTTTTTTCTTGGAGTCGATTGATGCATCTATTGAGTCACATGATGCAAGAATTTTGGCTGACCTTTTTGAAAAAAGAGCATGTTCAAATTGTGAGGGATAAAAGAGCAAATTATAAAGCGGTGGGAAGACTATTAGCACAGCTCATTCTTGGTCTTTTTTTGGACACCTTTTGCAGTTCATTGTATCGATCTCATGCTAGAAGAGATTGGAAAAATGAATGAATTTAAATCCTACATTCACAAGGCTAGGGATGTCACCACTTTTATTTATCGACATGGAAGACTTCTTAATACAATGAGGGAAAAGATCGGTGGCAGAGATCTGGTGAGGCCGGAGACTACCCGATTTGATACCGCATTTCTTAGTTTGCTGAGGATGCCGTAAATGTAAGATGGGTGTTCCCTGGTGTCAGATTAGTGGACAGACAAAAGATGACGACACTTGATAAATTTTCTTGTCCAGAGGGGACTTTGTTCATAGAGTCTATTGATGCATCTGATGAGTCACATTATGAAAGAATGTTGGCTGAAGTTTTTGAAAAAAAGTTGAAAAAATTAGCAGGAAGTATGTTGTGCAAATTGTGACGGATAATGGAGCAAATTATAAAGCGGCGGGAAGACTATTAGCACAACCCTGGTCTTTTTTGGACAGCTTGTGCAACTTATTGTTTCGATCTCATGCTAGAAGATATTGGGAAAATGAATGATCTTAAACCATACATTCAAAAGGCTAGGATGTCATCACTTTTATTTATCGACATTGGACTTTTCAATGCAATATAAGGGAAAAGACTGGTGGCAGAGACCTGGTGAGGCTAGAGACTACCTGATTTGGTACGCATTTCTTAGTTTGCTGAGTTTAGACAAATATGGGAATGAACTGAGACAGTTATTTGTGAGTGATGATTGAAGCGATAATTAAAACTGTAAAAAATGTCAAAAGGCAAAAAATTGATAGAAACCATTCTTTAATCGAAATTTATAGATTAGGTAGAAGATTGTTTACGGACAACATTTCATCTTTTGATTGTTTTGAGGATAGTTGATGGTGATGAAAAGCCAGCCATGTATAAGCTTTCTTCGACTATGAATCATATGAAGAAGAAAATAAATGAATGTTTTTACGAGCAACAACAAACAAGGTTGTTGAACAAGATGATGGAAATAATTGAGGATCGATGAAGCGATCAAATGGAGGTGAAGTTATATGGGGCTGCACTATGTTCTTATATCCTTAAAAAATATTTTGAATTGAAGAGGATTGATCCTGTATTTGTTGTTTAATGATGTTTTAGAAAAGATGGTTAAAAGATTAAGAGTTGATGGATTAGATTAGTGCGGTCAATTGGCGATCAAACACCAAATGCAAAAGAGTCATCGTTAGTTGTTTTAACATATATATATTTATATTCTATGAAACTTAATTTCAATGGCAAATTGTTTTTTAGTTCCGTAACTAACTCTCTTTATAATTTTAGGACTTTAAGTGGACTCTATCTGAAAATAGTGGTCAAACAAATGATTACGATCAAAGTAATTCGAAAGGGGCTCTCTCAACGCTGTAGGCATTTGTTTATCTTGTGGTGCCTTGTTTTTGTGATGCGGGGGTTGTTTTCTGTCGAGTCGTGGGTTCTAGGGAAGGTTGTGTGTTCGTCACATTTTGGGTATATTTTGTGTTGATTTCTCTTGAACAAATGATTTTGGAGGTTCACCCTAAATCCAAACCTTAGTTCAAACTTTTTAGCTTTATGTTTTTTTTCATTACATTATTTTTATACCAAAAATAAAATTATTTTTACATCACTTTTAATTATCTATTACAATTAAACTATTACTTCCTCCGTCTCAAACACCGTGCAACATTTGTATTTGGTACGAGAATTTAGGTAGGGAGTATCAAGTATGATAATTTAAGATAATTTGAATATTAAGTGATGTGATTGGAGAGAGAAATGATTATTTAAGGGTGTGTTTGTTTGAGGGTTTGGATTTTGAGTTGGGATTTGAATAGTAAAAATTTTGAATTTGAATAGTTGTATGATGTGATATAAATAGGTGTTGATGTGATGTTTGAATGTAAAATTGATTTTTAGTATAATATAAAAAATGAAAATAGGTGTTTGATTTGATGTTTTTTGGGGGAAAAAAATAGGATGAATAGTGGAAATCCAAACAAATCCCTCAAACAAACACACCTTAAGTTTTTTATTTGAGTGATGTGATGAGATAAAGTGAAGTATATATTAATATATGTATATAAATATTATTAATTATTTCTAAATTTGAAAATATTGCAGTGAATTTGAGACAAACAAAAAAGAAAATATTGCAGGATATTTGAAACGAAGGGAGGCAAAAGTAAATGTTACCTTTCAAAATGGAGGGGGGAGGGGGGAGCAAAAAATATTTTACCCTTAATTTTTAATTTTTAATAATATTTTTTTAATAGTATGTAAAGTGTAAGAATATTTTAATTTAAGTAAAAAAGTATTAAAAAAATAATAGACATATTAAAATGTGGACTAGAGCAATATTATTTTTTAGTTCTTGTGAAAGTAAACTTACATAATTTTTTTCTTATTTTTTCGAATAAAGAAAATATACAACATTTTGAATATGGTGGAAGTATCATAATTTTAATAACGAACATAATAGTCTTTTACAAAATTACGAACTTTTGTTTTCTACTAAACCACTAGCTAGCTTCCGCTGCGGCCACCGCCTGCCCATTTTCACTTCACCTTTGAAATTGGAAGAGACCTATCTGCCTCTTCAAATAACAACTGAAATCGAAGAAGGCGTCGGATCCGGTGGAAGTAACCGTCGGTAAGGTTCGATTCTGTATTTTGTTTTTACTTCAGAAAAGAGAAAATAACTGCATCGAAATCGATGGTAAGAAAAATTGGTTCCGATTCAAACCCGAACAGCCCTAAATTAGATTGCGGCCAAATCCTTATTGTATCTTTTGTTTGCGGGAAATTGGGCGTTTGTTGAGTTTTTAGTTTCTTTGATTCTGGAATTTTGCGACAATGGTTTCTTTAAGGTCTTTGTTATCCTGGGAATTAATTTTAGATCCATCTATTTGCTTTTGGTGTTTTTATCCCTATCCGCAAACAATACCGAATCCCGATTTGCTCAAGATTGTTGTTGCATTTTATTTGTAACAAATAATAAAATGCCATATTAGTTATGTAAAATGGATAACATTAAGCGCAGAAAATAAATTTAGGAATATAATATAAAATTAAACATACAATATTTAGTAACCACCTAAATTTCTTGAACTCTCATCTAAACTGTAGGAATGTTGGCTAAAAAGATGTGATGAAGAATCTTCAGGTGGATTTGTCATCCTTTTACTCGTTCGTCGTCCTTTTACTCATAATTTTCTCCTTCTCTTGCTTAAAATAAGCATAACTAATAGAATCAGTGATGGTATTCAAATCGACGGACATAATTTTGTCTTCTCTTTTAGCTTGTGCGAGTTTCACCTTTTGTTGTTCAAGAATTAAATATTTTGCTCTTTCAAAATAATTGTTCTTGATTATTTCTCGAAGTTCTGCATTATGCTTATCTAACTCAGCAAGGTTAGCAGCCCGCAAATCAGCGTTTTCTCTTTTCAACTTCAATATTTCCACGCATGCTAACCATTCGTTAGAAGAGTCATCGGTGTTATCGTTTAAATACGATCCACTAGCATCTTTGTCACTATATGCAATAGTTTTTTCGGACATGATAGTTATATTTATATAGTGTGAAACTGAAAGCAGGAAGAAGGAAATGCAATGAGGTGTTGCAAATTACAATTAACACTATTTATAGGAGAAATTGACAAGAATTTTATGTTGAAAATTAATGAAATAGTTGGTTGTTAGTAGTTGACGAATGGATTAAATGCGTCGATATATAAATGAGGTGGTTTTGGTGGTTATTAATTAATTTTAAGTAGTTGATGGTTAATAGATAATAATTGGATTAAATGCAAAAGAAATAAAATGGTTAGTGGTTAGTAATTTATTGTAAAATTAATTATACAATAAAAAGTAGTCAATACTTAGTAATTAAGAATTGAATTAAATGTAAAATAAATTAGTTAATTTGATGGAAAAGTTCGAGAAAAATCCATGTTTAGTTCAATTCAGTTCACATTATAAAAATATTGGTATGCATTTCATTCTCTATCTATTTGCTTTAATATTGGTCTCTATTTTATATTTCTGTCAATTTGCATAGTATAAATTTTATATACCTCTAAAGTATATTAAAATACTCTCAATGTTACTTTATATACTTATAACACAACTCACTCTATCTATGTTATGCCCCGTTCTACTTAAGTTGTTCCATTGAAATACCCTTATTTACTTTATATATACTTTTGTGTATTTTAAAATAATAAAATGAAATAAAAACAACAATTACAGTCGTGTTTTACTGAGATACAATCACGTAAACCCAACGATCCATCCTTATTGGGGCTTACATAGTGACTACGATGACGTGAAATCCTGGGATGGTGGTCGTCGGTTGGTTGAGTTAAAGAAGACTACGAAGAAAAAGAAAATAGAGGGGGATTTCTGGGCGCCAATTGTTCCGAGCATGCTCAAATCAATGCCACCTTCTGAAATCAAGCAAAATAAAATTATTAAGACACCAAAATAAACACAAAATAATAATAATAATAATAATAATAATAATAATAATAATAATAATAATTAACATTTTTGGCTAGACATTATTTTCTTGCTAGTCATTTGGCGGTACAACCACCAATGGTCTTTTCCATCTCCAATTGGGCTTTTTCCCACTGTATGTGAGCCTATGGTTGCTACACAATAACTCTTGCCATCATGCATCGAAGGCTCAATAACACTAATGGCACACGCACTGAGTTAGGGATGTCACTACTTTTATTTATCGACATGAGAGACTTCTCAATGCAACGAGAGAAAAGATTGGTGGCAAAGATCTGAAGACGCCGGTGACTACCCGATTTGCTACTGCATTTCTTAGTTTGTTGAGGATGCTGTAAATGTAATATGGGTGTTCTATGTCAGATGGGTGGTCAGACAAAAGAAGACGACACTCGAAAATCTTCTTGTCCAGAGGGGACTTTTTTCTTGGAGACTATTATGCATCTGCTGAGTTGCATAATGCAAGAATGTTGGCTGAGCTTCTTGAAAAAAAAGTTGAAAATATTAGCAGGGAGCATATTGTACAATGTGTGACGAATAATTGAGCAAATTATAAAGCGGCGGGAAGAGTATTAGCACAACTCATTCTTGTTCTCTTTTGGACACCTTGTATAGCTCATTGTATCGATCTCATGCTAAAAGGCATTGGAAAAATGAATGAATTTAAACCGTATATTTAAAAGGCTAGGGAGGTCACAACTTTTATTTATCGACATGGGAGACTTCTCAATGCAACAAGGGAAAAGACTAGTGGAAGAGATCTGAAGACACCTGTGACTACCCGATTTGCTACCTCATTTTTTAGTTTGTTATGGACGCCATAAATGTAATATGAGCGTTCTCTTATGTCAGATGGGTGGACAGACAAAACAGGGCGACACTAAAAAAATCTTCTTGTATAGAGGGGACTTTTTTCTTGAACTCTATTGATGCATCTGCTGAGTCACATGATGCAAGAATGTTGACTGACCTTCCTTAAAAAGCAAGGAGCATGCTGTACATATTGTGACGGATAGTAGAGCAAATTATAAAGCGGCGAGAAGACTATTAGCAGAGCTTATTCGTGGTCTTTTTTGGACACCTTGTGCAGCTCATTGTATTGATCTCGTGCTAGAAACATTGGGAAAATGAATGAATTTAAATCCTACATTCAAAAGGCTAGGGATGTCACCACTTTTATTTATTGGACTTGGGAGACTTCTCAATGCAACGAGGGTACAGACCGGTGGCAGAGAACTGGTGAGGCCGGAGACTATCCGATTTCTACCGCATTTCTTATTTTGCTGAGGATCCCGTATATGTAATATGGGTATTCCCTTGTGTCAGATGAGTGAACAGACAAAAGAGGGCCACACTTGAAAAATCTTCTCGTCCAGAGGGGACTTTTTTGTCGCATGATGCATGAATGTTGGTTGAGCTTTTTGAAAAAAAAAAGTAGAAAAAATTTGCAAGGAGCAAACTGTGCAAATTGTGACGGATAGTGGAGCAAATTATAAAGCGGCGGAGAGACTATTAGCACAACTTATTCCCGGTTTTTCTTGGACACCTTGTGCAGCTCATTGTATCGATCTCATGCTAGAAGACATTTGGAGAATGAATGAATTTTAACTATATATTAAAAAGGCGAGGGATGTGACAACTTTTATTCATCGACATGGGAGACTTCTCAATGCAACGAGGGAAAAGACCGGTGGCAGAGAATTGGTGAGGACGAAGACTACCTGACTTGCTACTGCATTTCTTAGTGTGCTGAGGATGCTGTAAATGTAATATGGTTGTTCCCTTGTGTTAGATGGGTGGACAGACAAAATAGGGCGACACTTGAAAAATCTTCTTGTCCAGAGTGGACTTTTTTCTTGAAGTCTATTGATGCATCTGCTGAGTCACATGATGCAAGAATGTTGACTGACCTTGAAAAAAAAGTTTAAAAGCAAGGAGCATGTTGTACATATTGTAACGGATAGTAGAGCAAATTATAAAGCGGAGAGAAGACTATTAGTAGAGCTTATTCGTGCTCTTTTTTGGATATCTTGTGCAGCTCATTGTATTGATCTCATACTAGAAGACATTGGGAAAATGAATGAATTTAAATCCTACATTCAAAAGGCTAGGGATGTCACGACTTTTATTTATCTACGGGAAACGTCTCAAGACAACGAGGGAAAAGACTCGTGGCAGAGATCCGAAGACGCCGGTGACTACCCGATTTGCTACCGCATTTCTTAGTTTCTTGAACATGTAATATGGGTGTTCCTTTATCTCAGATGGGTGGACAGACAAAATTAGGCGACATTCGAAAAATCTTCTTGTCCGGGGAGACTTTTTTCTTGGAGTCTATTGACGCATCTGCGGAGTCGCATGATGCAAGAATGTTGGCTGAGCTTCTTGAGAAAAAAAGGTTGAAAAAATTTGCAAGGAGCAAGCTGTGCAAACTGTGACGGATAATTGAGCAAATTATAAAGCGGCGGGAAGACTATTAGCACAGCTTATTCCTGGTCTTTTTTGGACACCTTGTGCAGCTCATTGTATCGATCTAATGCTAGAAGATATTGGGAAAATGATTAACATTAAATCCTACATTCAAAAGGCTAAGGATGTCACCACTATTATTTATCAACTTGGGAGACTTCTCAATGCAACGAAGGAGCAGACCGGTGGCAGAGAATTGGTGAGGCCGGAGACTACCCGATTTGCTACCGGATTTCTTATTTTGTTGAGGATCCCGTAAATGTAATATGGGTGTTCCCTTGTGTCAGATGGGTGGACAGACAAAAGAGGACGACACTTGAAAAATCTTCTTGTCCAGAGGGAACTTTTTTAATGTTGACTGACCTTCTTGAAAAAAAGTTTTAAAAGCAAGGATCATGCTCTACATATTGTGACGGATAGTAGAGCAAATTATAAAGGGGCGAGAAGACTATTAGCAGAGCTTATTCGTGGTCTTTTTTGGACACCTTGTGCAGCTCATTGTATTGATCTCGTGCTAGAAACATTGGGAAAATGAATGAATTTAAATCCTACATTCAAAAGGCTAGGGATGTCACCACTTTTATTTATTGGACTTGGGAGACTTCTCAATGCAACGAGGGAACAGATCAATGGCAGAGAATGGGTGAGGCCGGAGACTACCCG